GCGTGTGTAAGCCGACCCTCCCCCCCCCCCCCCCGCCGGCGCCGCCGCCGCCATGGGGGGCACAGGGGGTGAGTGTGAGTGTGGCCGCGTGTGGGTGTGTTGTGCGAGCGCGTGGGTGTGACTGCGCGTGTGCGTGTCACTGCGTGTGTGCGAGTGTCAGCCTGCCTGCCTGCCTGGCTGCATGTGCGTGTTGTGCAAGCGCGTGGGTGTGATTGTGTGTCACTGCGTGCCTGCCTGTGGGTGTGAGCGGGTGTGTCTGTGCACACAACAGTGTGCAACTGTGTGTGGGTGTGAGGGTGTCAGCATGCGTGTGCCTGTGTGTGGGTGTGAGCGTGTGTGTCCGTGAGTGTCAGTGTGTGTGTGTGCACGCACGTTGTGCAAGCACGAGTGCGTGCAACTGCGTGTGAGTGTGCGTCTGTCCGTGTGAGTGTCAGTGCACATGTGTGCACATGCGTGGGTGTGAGCGTGTCGCCGTGTGGGTGTGGTCTGGGTGCTGGGGCGGTCTCGCGGTGCGCGGCCGGTTTCACACCCGATCCCGGGCTCACGTGTGACCGGTGTTCGCCCCCAGCCGAGCCAATGCTGCGCCACCCCTGAGCGGCACCCCGGCCCCGGGCCCGGCCCCGGCCGAGCATCGCTGATTGAAAGGTACGCGCCTCCAGGCTTTGTTTTACACCATCTTCTTTCACTCCTGCACCCTCCTCCTGGGCCACCTTTCTTGGCCCGCTGTCCTCCCCGGCCCCTCCCCTCCCCTCCCGCCTGTCCGTCCGTCCGTCCGTCCGTCCTATGAGGTTTGTCCTTTGGCCCGTTCTGCCGTCTCCCTGCGGGCGCGGTTCAGAAGCTCGGGGAGAGACGCGGGGGTTTCTCGCGGTGCCGTTCGTTCGTGGGACTGGCTGTACGGTTGCAAGAGCTGTTGGCCGAGCTGTCGGGCAGCAGGCGCCCCGCTTCAGCTCCGTGCCGTGTGTGCAGGGACGTCGGGTGCTGCATGGCCAGGAGCGTGTTTGCAGGCCCCCTTGCATCTGGGTAGGTGTCCGCGCAGGAGAGCTTCACAGAGTAGAGGGTAAGGCAGGGTGGCGCTTTGGAGAGCGGCTGGCTCAGGGAATCGGCTGTGGCAAGGGGGCGACAGCATCCGGCCCACGAGCACGCGAGGGCCATCTGCGATCTGGAATGGGATTGATCCCCTGCGCAGCGCCTGCAGGGCCCGGTCCGGTCTGTGCAGCATGCGCCGACTCCGGGACTCGCCGTGCACGCAGAAGGGGCTGGCCCCACGTGTTGCACACAGCAGCACGTGGGGCTGGACCGGCTGCACGTGCTGACCAGTGCCTGCTGCGCTGTGTGCTGGCTCCAGTATGGCCCGATCCGGATTGACCTCCAAGCCAGCACGCTGGGTGAGTCCAGGGGAGTGCCTTGCACGGTGCGTGCGCCAGACCACCTCCCTGCGCTGCATGGCGGGGCCAGGGCTGGTGCACGGGGTTGATGCAGAGACCCACGGGCCGCATCGCGTATCTGCACGCAGCAGATCTGGCCCGAGGGCTGTAAGCTTGACCCCCTTAGCTCTACCAGCAGTAGTCGGAGTGCGGAAGGACAGGGAAAGCTTTGCGCTGTGGAATATGCCTCGATTTTGATTTCAGCTAAGCACCCATCCTCTGTTACTTTACGTGTCAGAGTGACCTTTAGCACCGGTATGCTCAGCTACTAGGAATGTTTTCATGGAAACTGGAATAGGGTCTTTTCTGTGCAAAAGCATTGCACGGGTATAACTAGCTGTTCAACTCTATACAGGTCATGTGTTGACAAGGTCTAAAAAGCTCGAACCCTTCCCTCCTCTGAAGGATCACAAGCCACTTGATGACGATTGTGTATTTTACCTTCTGCTTGTCACTGCTATGACGCCACTCTGTTGAAACCTGGCTTTGTGATGGTCTGCAATAACGCTTTGCTATAGTTAAGAACAGGAGGTAGAAAACTGAATTCAGCTGAGCCCTCCTGAGAATTTTGGGTAGGCAGCATGGCTGTAGCTAAATTGAGAATTAGCCAGGGGTCTGCTTCTGACTTCCGCCCACTTCTGTTGGACTTTGTCACCGCAAGGAGATGAGACCTTTTATTGCGTCTGATTCCAAGTCTGGCGTTTGCATCTACATGGCTCTGCAGTGCCAGGCACAGACACTGGCTCAGTGGCAAGAATGCTGATTCCTAAAACTTCCCTGAAGTTTTCTGTTCAGGGGCTGAAAAAGCCTGACTGTGGCTGGTGAGTTTTGATGAAATGAGGGGCCGCAGTGGTAGTCAGCAGCAAGACAACTTCCTCCTGAAGTCTTCTTCACCTGTCGTCACATTCAAAAATAGAGTAGCTGTGTGTGGGGTTGTGTGCCGAATTCTGGTTCCCTTGTTGCATAGCTCGAAACATGTAGACCAGCCTATATTTTCAAAGAACTGTGTAGTATTTAATCTCTTAACTACCTGTTTGCCAATGTAACTAAAAATTTCAGTTTCAGCTAACATATTATCTCCTTTTTTATTGCAGGGAACTTGGCTGTTGGGTGTATGGGAACTGATCCACAAACAAGCTGCATTTTCAAACAGGTTAGCCATACTTTTCTGTATGTAACTCAGCTGGTTGACAATATTGCTGCTTTTTTTCAAGTACATGCTAGAAGAAAGTTGACTTCTGGAATTTTTTATTTTTACAGCACAGCATTATTTTTCAGTATGTGGAAACTTGGCTGTTCATGTCTTTGTTCTATTCTTTTAAGGTGCTCAAGTGCTACGTGGTGTAAATGACTCTTGTTGCTGTTCTCGGTCTACGGTGTCATTCTGTTTTCACTTTGGGTTTGTCTTTGCTATGTTTATTTGCTTAGACTAAAGTCCTGTCATTGCTGCCAAAAAAAGGCTGATTTTTTTTTAACCTTGGGGCAGCGAACCTGCATCAGCTCTTCTCAGATAAGAATACAGTGTATGCAAATATCTTGTCTTCATGTATTTTTATCTGGAGCTGACACAGGTTTGTTACTACTGTATAAAAACTGCTTTTTTCTGCTTAGAGACTAGCCAAAGGTAAGGCGCTCCCTTTTTAACCGGGGAGGATGCGTTTCAGCCTTTGCAAGCAGGATGCTTGTTACATGGAGTTAATTGTCAGTTGACTAACTGGAGCTTTTTTAAAGAGAACATCTAGTGTAGCCGTACCCTTCCAGCACTGAGGAGGCTTCGCTTGTGACCTTAGTGATAGCTGGTTTAACTTCCCATTCTCTGGTGCTGCTGTCTTCCTGCCCTCCCCCAGATTCTTCTTGGCGAACAGATACTTACCAGTTTACATAACATTGGTGTAATCGCTTATGGGGAGGAGTGCTGGAGCTATTCAATGGTGTACAGCAGTGGAGAGTGCAATAGTGAGATGACAGTACTTTGCTCCTGGAGTCCTGTTATCTGTGTTGTAGATAGAGAAGCTGAGATACAGCGGTTAAATGGTTTGCTGAAGATCCACACAACATTTGGTCAAGCCAGGAATGGGGAGCGTCTCTCAGTTCACTTCCATGCCTGCTGGAGCGTGCTGCCTCCTGTTTATGTAGAGAGTGCTAGGGGCTTTTAGATAAGTCAGGGCTGGCACGGGCGCCACAAATGGCAAGGGGCAGGCGGCCTGTGTGTGGCACGTGGTGGATCAGGGAGGGGGGATCTTTTAGTATTCGCTTGCTGGGGAAGTGTTAAGGTGGTGAAATGTAATTATCCACGTAGGAATTTGGCTGGTGTAGTAGGGTTAAAGGTTCTGATTACAAAAGTGTCCGTGGTAGGCAAAAAAATGTGGGAGTAGTAGAGTCTGGACAGAGAACACCTCCAGCACGGTGCTTCCCTGCCGTGTGTGGGCTGGGTGCCAGCACTTGGCTCGGAGCGGATCAGATTTGTTAGCACTGTCATAGTGCCTCGGCTCTCCGGGCTCGATCCAGGACAGCACTGTGCTAGGCGCTGTGTGAATACAGAACAGGCTGCTCCTGTCCCAAAAAGCAAATAGGCCACGTTGAATCACGAGTACTGTTTTTTGTGGAGCTAGGTTTTCCTTGAAGGTCTGCTGTTCCCGGTGCTGATGGGGTCTGACTCTGTACATGTTCTGGTTTGCGCAGGATACGTCCGTTGTACCAGCTTCAGGGAACCAGGAAAGTCAGAAGGCCGGTAGTAGCAGTGCACAGTCCACCACATGCTATCACTCCATTGAAAAGTCTTGTCCGGAAGAATTAATAACCTATTAAAATTCATATGCATGTCCCTTCCATCTTAGGGAGCCATGCTGCAGAAACAAGAACGGTTAACCAGTTAAATACAAAATAACAAGCGCATGACAGGTAAGAGAGTGAGAGGGGTTTATGGATCCCAAGGGAAAGGCGCGGCTGGAAAGTGACATTTCCTGTAAGCAAACAGTTGCCAAACCAGCAGGGGCTGGAGCTCTTGCCACTGGGTCAGAAAAGCAATTTGCTGCCTTTGGCACTTCGAAATAATGTGTTGGCTGTGTGTCATGGTTCACATCTTAAATGCTGTGATTTTGACTGTTGCTAATGTCACGATGGAAGGGAGGTTCCTTTGAAAACAAGATTTGGTGGCAGGAAAAGGCAGGGTGAGAGGGCACAGGGGTAGTGGTGTTAGCCAGTGGTTCTGGCAGCTGTGGCAAGAGGCCCTGTGGGCTGGGTGCCTGGCGGCCCTGATCAACGCATCTCTTTGGAAGAAGTGCAGGTAAGAGGGTCTTAGAGCGACTAGCCCTGAGGCAGGACCTCATGCCAAATTTAGCAGGCGTGGTCGCATCTGCCAGCATCAGCAGATGAACGTGCTAGATTTAGTCTGTCCAGAGATGAGGGGAGAGAATTGGCCTCAGCCTGACTCAGCCGCACAGGAATATTGGGACCGTGCAGGTTGAACTGTACTGCTTGTGTTCAGCCCAGGGCTCACTGGAAGGATTTGGGAAGGTGCAGTCCCCTTTCTCTGTCACAGTCCCTTTTCTCTTGGCTAGGCTTGCCTGTTGCTGATAGAAGGAAGGTGCTTCTCCAGCATCAGTACAGGCAGGTGTGTGGCTGAGAGAGTACATGGGGATAAACCCGCTTGCCCGGCGAGTGGCTGTGATGAGAAGGCAGTATTTGTGACAGTACTTCTGTCAGTATTTGTGTGGGGTTGGTGCTCCTCAGTTACTTTCTGGGAAGCAGGGTGATTTTTGTGTCTGCTGGAGGGAGAGGGCAGTTGCAGGGACCATGGGACACATCTTGTTGTTGGGGTGCACAGTTTCAGGAGGGCCTGCATTGCTGGACTGGGAGCCTGCCCTCTCTGGGAGGGGACCGTCCACCTGGGATATAGGGCACCCCCTTGGCAAGGGACTTTACTCGCACGTGCAAATTCATCCCTTGTTACGAGGTGGGAGATGCTCTTCCTTCATTTAAGGGGCAGTGGGTGTTTCCCTCTACGAAGGAACATAACGTATGGGAAAGGGGTATCCTTTTCAGGAGGGGCAGTATTCATGGGGTGTAGGGCATATTTTGTTTCCTAGGGAAGAGTAATGAGAGGACATGCAGCATGTGTTAGTCCCAGGGGGCAGCATTCGTGGGAAGCTGGGTAGTTTTTATGGCTGTGGGGGTGGTGGGATGCATTTCAGGGGACCTGGGACAATTTTGTTTGCAAACGATGGTCTTCCTGAAACGGGAGAGCTGTTTTTTGGAGGAGGACACTGAGGGGCAATGGCAGGGACTCCCCTTTGAAGCAGGGTCGGACAGTTTCGACCACTCTGGGTTTAAGTACTGGTTTAAACTACCGCGGTTTTGACCACGGGCAGCTTGTGCTGTTTGGAGCACTGAGAATAATGGCGATATTTTAAATGTGTGTGCTGGGGGTTTAGTCTAAGAAGAATAAAAAAGCTTACTTAAGAACACGGTAAACTACAGTTTAAAAAGCTTTTCAGCATTCACGTCATCTGCAGGTTATTTTTTTTTTTTCTTAACACTATGCAAAAAAGTAAGCCTGGAGTCCAAACTGCACTTTCTGTTGTGAAGACAGCACCGGTATGGCGTACAGTACCTTACTGTCATTTTACAGAGATGTTTTAGCTGGGCAGAAACATGCTGCATGGATGCCTTGTTAGCCACCCTTTGTCATGGACTATAATGGGCATATATACATATAATGTAACATAAGCCTTTGGGTGGCCTCGCTCTTCTAAGTGCAGGCCTCACCCTGAGGGACTCTTCACTGAAGGCACACGCTTTGGATCAGTACTGCTTTTGCATAGGATTATTTAAAGAAAACCCTGCACCAGCAAAACACTAGTGTAAGTATTGCTGTGGCAATGTAAAGCTTCCTTAAACAAGGGCAGCTTTTTCTCCTTGCTGTTTAGGAATAGCTTTTCCAGCACAAGGTACCTGGTGTAATTAATTGTGTCTTCATTTGGCTACAGATCCCTTCAACTCTAGTGGCTTAGTTATAGCAGTATAACCCCTTGTTGACAAACACCGTCTCTGTAAGGCAGAGAGACCTTACTGCTGGTTTAACCGACTGCCGGGGCCAAACAGTGCAACTGAGCAGTGGCTGTTCTGTGATACGAGTTAACACTGGCACAAACGCCTACTTTCTCTTGGAAAAACTATTCTGTGATTTTTTGTTTGTTTGTTTGCATCATTAAATCTTGCCACGAAACAGCAGTTTGTTACAGTTTTATGTTCAGTGGCTTTATGACACACGCGACTTTCGTGGGATCTAAGGGAGTGGGTAGGCAGGGCAAACTTGGCAAACTGTCGGCAAAATTAGTCGCACATATTCTTCTGGTGCACGTGCATCTCCTGCAAGGAAAATCAGTGTCTTTTGGCCTGCAGTGTTTGCAGGGGTGATATGGGGTGCCCCATAAAGGACAGGACAGACTTGATTATCTTTTGGTTCCTTAATGCCTGTTGCTGCAAGATAAAACCTTTCTCAGTCTGTGTGATTTCCGTGTGCGAGAGAAACTAACTAGTACTTAAAAAAATTACAGTTATTATTTTAAGGTCACTGGCTTTTTTAGGACACACAACTTTTAGTGTGAAAGACCTCCCTCTTTCTGGAAGCTGAGATACTTCATCAAAGGTCTTGGGGTTCAGAACTGGCTGTGTTTTTCTGTGGCTGCCCTGCTACAAGATGGGTGCTCAAGGTACCACGTTCCTCCGAGCGGAGCACGTCCTTCATAGATGCTCCATCTGCCGTTTCCTTTCCGAGAGGACACAGACAGCGCAGCAGGCCTGTATGGAGCTGTTTTTGTGGAGTGCTCAATGAAAGGCCGTTTTTCTGCAGTGCTGGAGAGGCAGTCGGCCCGAACAGGCTCGCTTTGTTGAAAGCTGCAGTTCAGTTCTGAGCTCCGCAGCGCGTGCTTCAAAAACACAACCCCTGCCGAGACCAGAGGTCCCCGGTTGTCGCCCACCCTCTTGTCTGAAACGGAGCAGTGTTGTACTGACCTTCGAGACTGGCCTCGCCTGGAAGATTGGCCATGGTGATTTATCGGGCCAGCTATCAGCCAGCCAGATATCTGTGGCAAACACCGGCATCAGTGGCACCAACCTTGAAAATGGGTGGCAAGCGATTTCTGTCTCTTC